TTTTTTTTCAAACTAACAGGGGAAAATGTTGCTTCAAACTTTAATAATTACTGAACCTTACAGAAAGTCATTCAATCCTCAAAATCTTAAACATTTATAATTGTGTCAGTATTTCAGCATTCCATGAGTGTATACGCATTTTGTAATTGTATAGACTTGAGTGGAATAATCAGTATTGTTAATAAAACTGTTTATGTTAGAGAGCTGATTCACTTCTGTTTCTTCAAATTGAATGCTGAATTTATATGGATTGTTTCATTTTTTGCATTTTGTTGTAGTCAATTTTATCTATTACTCCCCACATATTTATTTAGCTTGAATAAACTATCATTTTATTAAATTTAATGTTTTTGAATTGTTTATTTGCCTGGATATTAACATAACTTCTTTGAATATTTAAAAAGAATAGGCAAGGTAACTATCTTTTGCTCACACAACGGATATAGCAGACTCAAGGAATGCTGAAGTTATATGTTTCCAGCTGGGGTTTTACTGATGCAAATTCCCCATTTCTGGACTGGGAGTGCGGAGGCTCCATCTTTCAGGACTGAGCTGAGTGCTTCTTGCGATGCTGTGAGCTGTGGATTTCATAAGAATTGTGTTTTCTTTTGAACTCAGGATATGTTGTTGACCGCACTAAAATTGTGAATGGCTCATTATGTTCAGAATGGCGTGTACTTTGCAGGTGCGTTACCAGTGCAGTACTCTGGTGTGCATCAGGGCTGTGTACTATCACCACTTCTTTTTATAAAGTACATGGATACCATATGTAAGGAAATGAGCTTTAATCATGAAGAAGATATTACAGAATTACTATTCGCTGATGACCAGGTACTCATAGCAAAAAGTACAGAATGCCTACAGAACAACCTAAATCAAATTAGTAACAAAGGGGAGGAATATAATTTGAAAATAAACACTACAAAGAGACAATGATGATAGGAAGACAGAAATAAAATTAAAAACAACACCTTAAGACAGGAATTTCAGTATTTGGGAGCAGTTTTCATATCCGACGGAAAACTGGACAGAGAAATTAGCTCAGATGTGCCAAAGCTAATCAAGTAATGGAACAACTATCTCCCCTGTTGACACACAAGCAGTTACCTCGTAGTACTAAAGTGAAACTTATAAGAACTTTTTTTGGGCCAATACTATGCTGTCAGTGCCAAATGTGGACACTTACATACTCCAATGAACATAAAATTGTGACAACAGAGATGAAATACCTTAGAAGACCTGCAGGAGTTTCAAGGAAAACAGAATACGAAATCATGAAAGCAGACGAATGCTAGGAATAAAGCCAGTCTTACAAGTCATCAAAGAACAACAAATAAAGTGGTCTGGACACCTAACAAGAATGCCCTGATACTATCTGCCACAGCGAGCCACACTCAAATTTTACAACAGGTATAGAGCGAGTGGAAGACCTAAGAAAATATGGAATGATGGCATTAAAAACAGCCTTTCAGAAATGAACATCAGTCTTAACAGTGAAATGACAAAGCTCATCAATGAATGTTACGTCTCCCCCCGACACTTCGCTGATGTTCAATGTGAAAGAGAAGAAGACGAAGAAGTACCAGCGTTTGTGATTTACCATATATGACAACAGTGAGCTGCATTTCTGGTGTGGATTGTTAGTGTTAGCACATCTGACAGCTGCCTTATGCATTTTTACTTTGCGTATGCAAGCTTTCAGATATTGCTGGGACTGACAAGTTTGTCACTAGCTGTCAAATGAGACAGTTAAGGGTATTTTGTGAGGTTCCACTGGCACAGGAAATAAGCAGTTTTGGGGCAACCCATCTGCAGTGATATTGAAACCTTGACTAATGACTAACATTGCAGACTCAACAGACAGGTGTATAATTAGGTATAGGCCAAACAGCTCTCTTCCAGTGTCTTCAAACCAGATCTTGTCTTACAAGACTGTCCTTTCCTAAAGGAGCTGCATAGCAACATGTGGCCACGCCCTGTGAACATTTCTTCTTTTTTTTGTTTGCCTGAAACAAGTTGTCTACATCAGCAATTTTGTCCCTCCTGTAAATTTCACAGTCGTTTTTAGTTAATTCAGTGGTCCATGGAGTTTACGTTCCATTGTTGTTATTTCTGGCCAAAAGTTTAATTTAATGCGTCAAGTTTTTGTGATGTCCTGGAGTACATGTTCTGCTGTCTGAGGCAACCTTCCATGAATGCACATGGCAGATACGCCTTTTTGAATTTTGTATACGTGTGGTTGCATAATTGGCTGTGCCCTGTTCTGAGGCGAAGGATAATGACTTGTTCTGATCTGTCCATAACATGAACCTGACAACTAAGCTTTGAGGAAACTGAAAAGATTGAACTGACATCTTAGTTTATGTCCCACAATGGATTAAGTGCATGATCAGAGATCGCTAACAAAGACATTTATTAGCAATGCACATGCATGCAAATTTTGTACTCACAGATTCTATCTATCTGTTGTTCTTTTTTTCCCCCTGCTTTTTGCCATAAGGCATCTCAGGAATGGCAAATGATCAGTGTCTGGGATAGTGTACACTCGTTAGCTTGCTGTATGATGATATTATTGAGTTTCAGCAAGTTGTTTTTTCCCAGATTGTGTTAAAAAGTTAATTGTTGGCAAGTTACTTGGTTGGTTTTGTTTTTCAATGCCAGACATCTGTTTTAATAACCCATTCTGTTTTAGTTTTTAACCCAACCTCTGACTCACAAGAATAATCATTCAGGTGCCATCTCCACAATAAAGGTGGATCTCCAACACACTCTGAAATAATTGTTTGTCCATCTCTTCATATCATCCTCCCACTTGTATTATTTCTAACTTTTGTCTGCAAAATTGTCTACCAGTATTTTTTTTTAAATAAGAGTGTGCGTCTTTCTAGTGTAGCAGCTGACTGAGTGGTTAGGACACTGGGTTTCCAAAGATCTTGCATTCAAATCTGCAATGAGACAGATTTGTGTCAAATTGGTTTTGGCTCCCAGGTTGACCCAGCCTAAACAATAGGTACCAGGTAGTCTCCTGGGAAATAAAAGTGGCTGGCTTGATGTTGATCCCATCATCTTGCATGCAGATTGGTCTGAAAATGTATGCATCATTTGTCTGATATGCCCCAATGTAAAAAATCCATTACTTTTAGTTTTACATAAAAGTTTTTCTGTGTTAAAATAATTTTTTTTCTTCTTTGCATTTGGTTTCGTATGCTCAGGTCAGGCCATCAGGTGGTATGAACTCGCATGTCAGCAGCAAATCTTTCATTGTTCCCCATAGCCTTCTCTGCATACTTTGCTCTTGATGCCAGGTTTCTTTTTGAAGTTTTAAGTAGATTGGGCAGGTCTGCAGAATGTGCACAGGTGTTTGTGGTCCTTTTTTGACAGGCACACTGTGGGGACTGTACCGTCTTTATTTTTTTGCATGTGGTAGTTGAGCCTGCAAGTCTGTCCTCCTTGACAATAAAACAGACTAGGATGTTAGATATGGACGATCAGTATTTTTTTAACATATGAAAAAGAATATCTTTGAGAACTTGGATGCAACAGACAAGACTGATGGGAAAAGAGCAAACGAAAGATAAATAGATATATTCCCTTTGGCCTGATCATATGTACAGAGCTCTCTGTGTGGGTGCAAGGGCCCTATTATAGGGAAAACAAGAATAGACCCGCTGCCTACCCAAAAGCATGTCGTAAGAGTCAACTAACTGAGAGCTTCCTTCAAAGTCTGAGTGCATCTGCCTGAGAGACAAGGAACCAATAGTCTGCATACAGATGATCTATAAAACAAATGCACACGCAACACTCAGGTTTTAGAACAGGACTACAGTCCAGAAGTGGATGAACAACCAGAACGGATAGAGCTGGACAAGTGCACTGACCTGGTCCATGATTTTGGTGATCATGTGGGACAGCAACTAATACTGTCTATCCTTAAAGATTAAGGCATATGATGATGATACAATACTGTAAGAGAGTGACTATATAATAGCGACAACAGAAATTATATTACTAAATGACAATAAAAATTACAAACAAATGTAGACTTTATTATGTTTATTCTTGAAATAAAATCACACAATAAATTAAACCATATATTTGACATTTAAACACCGAAACTTTGGATAGTTTAGCAAACAAACAAAAATTAGGTACCAAAAAATGTGTGCTGTGTTTACTGTGAATAAAAATCAACACAACTTATTCCAGTTTCCTTCTCACACAATGACAAAAACATGATGTCTTGTCTTTTTCTGATGTTTTGACAAGGTGTCTTCGAGTCTGATCAAGCAAGTAAGCAAGATATCAACCCAGTAAGTAACTTATCACCCAAGTAAGCAATCAACCAAACAAGCAGTCAACAAATTTTACAAACAGTCAACGAAAACAACCAAGCAAAAAACTAAACAATGAAGCAATTAACTAGGCAATCACTGAAACAAGCAATCAACCAAGTAAAGAACCAATCAACCACACAAGCAACCAGACAACCTCTTTGTCTTCTTAGTGTCTATTGGCTGTAAATTCTAGTTCTAATTAGTTGTCTATTTCTGGATTTTCGTCTTGTTCCAAAATGCACATTTTGCGTGCACATCCAGTTTACAAATCTGGCTTATTTGTATGCAGACTGTTGGTTCCTCAACAACCAATAAGCCAAGTAAGCAACCAATCAACCTAAAAAGCAAAGCAAGCAATCAGCCCTTAAATAAAGTAACCAATCAACGAACGAGCACAGGGAGCAGTTAATCAATCAACCAGTCGACCAGCTAACCAGTTCAGCAACCAGTCAACCAGCTAACCAGTTCAGCAACCAGCTGACCAGCTAACCAGTTCAGCAACCAGTCGACCAGCTAACAAGTTCAGCAACCAGTCAACCAGTTCAGCAACCAGTCGACCAGCTAACCAGTTCAGCAACCAGTCAACCAAATTACATATCAAGATTTTTTAAAAATAATAAAATACTTTTAGACTCCACGTTGAAAGTATTGATCAATCATAGTAACTTAATGACTGTTAATAACTTGTCTGTGAATACTTTTCTTCCTCAGCCTGAGCAAAAATCCGGGGATTGTTACTCTCTTGCCAGGGCTTCGGTCCAGCAGCTTCAACAATAGCTCTCTGTGGGAAGTGAGAAAAATCAATAAACATTTACAAGTGAGTCTCAAAGAATGATACCAAAATGTAAGATAAGTGAAGACAACTGGTGCATTAGGTAGGTGGTGTCAGATGGGTGGTAAGGTCGACATTATGCCAGCCTCCTTCACTTCTCAGGACATTTCCCTGTGCCTTTTTTTAGGCTGGGTCAACCTGGGAGTCTTAGATCCATTGTAAAATCATGCTTGCTTTGGATATAAACCCAAAATATTTGATCTGGCAGGCATCATCAGCCACTGTGTTACCCCTTACTCTAGAACCACTTTGTAATTTCTCAAGATTAGTTTTAGGCTGTCTTTCTGGAGTCATGATTGTGTGTGTGTCTCTCTCTCATGTCTGTCTTTAAAATTTAAAAAAGGGAGGGGGCATGAGTTTATTGTGTGTATTAATGTTGGCGGGGCGGGGGGGGGGGGGGGGACTGTATTGGGTGAGTTATCTTTTTAATGTGAGTGGGCATGAGTGACATGTGAGTGTATTACTGTAAGGTGTCATAGAGGTATATGAATCAGTTGTATGTGTAATAATGAGGAGCCATGATTGAGTTGTTAGTGTAATAATGTGTGCCTGCTTAAGTCATGTTTGAGTTACAAAGTATAGGTGTAAGAGTGAGAGAGTGTTTGTGTATGTGAGAGGGAGTGAGAGAGAAAAAACAAACAATACCTGATATATGAAGGAAGGTCCTGATTTTTCCTGGCTTCGTAGAAGTAGTCGATTTTGAGACCAGGTTGTCTTCCCATCATTAGGGCCCACATGCAGACTCCAAGAGCGAAGGAGTCCAGCTGGAATTCCACAAAATGATTATAATTAGTATAACTAGTTGCATCAATACTTCATGTTTTTACCTGAAAAAGTGTGGTTTTTAAAATGAAGAATAAGAAGAGGAAGGAAGATAGTGAATGAAGGTTATTTTCTTAAGAAATTTTTTGCAACATTGTTCTTTCTTTGCCAGAAGACTGCCATACACTCCAACTAACCCCCCCCCCCCCCCCCCCCCCATTTTTTCTCCATTTTTTTCAGTTTGTGTGTAATTTTTTTTTACATAGCTGATTCTCTTTTCTGAAAATGGAACCAAGACAGACAGACAGAAGTAGATGTAGTCTCTCGTTTCTTACCCCTCACTGATTGTACCACAAAATTTGAAGCTGAAAATACAGATATGGCTCAGTATGTGGCTAGCAGAAAGTGAGCGGGGTTACAGTGGAGCATATACATAGGCGGAGTGCAGAATAGGGTTTAGATCAATGGTCTCCAACCTGTCTTTATTCCCCCCGCCCTTCTTTCCCAGGGACGTGAGGAATTTCCAGGGGGGGGGGGGGGGGGGGAATTTTGAAACTGTGTGCAACTTTACTTCTAATAATCCGTCATACTAACTTTTTTTTTCAACTTTACCAATACAATACTTTGCTTAAAACAAACAACAAACCAAGAAACCTTTTGTTAACTATGACACATATAAAAATAACAACACATTACACATGCGAATTGTCAGACATTCTGTGTACTCAACCCTGGTGAATGGGACAGAGACCTGGACAATGGGCAAGTAATTAGAAAATCGAAATCAGTCTCTGCAAATGTGGCTACTCATAACAATATATCGTATTTCTTAGAAAGCAGAGTAAAAATGATCCCGGCCGCCTTTACTTCCTGAAACTGCAGCAGTACCCAATCAAGACTGGGTCGACCTATGAGCGATATCCCGTGTATGGACTAGTAACTGCATAAGATTGTAGGATGTAGATTGTCAGATTTAATCTATTTTAAATGTACTTTCAAACAATTATAGCAATTATGCTGTGTATTCTACCTTTGGGGATGTTTAAAATGATCTGTGATGTCATTATTCTGTCTTAAGATATATTAACATCTCATACGCTAACTCATGTTCTTGTGTTTAATTCTTCCCTGTAGTTCTCTAGAGCCATCTACTCCCTGCACGTTTTAAATTTCTATAAGCTTATCCCTGGGGAGGCAGTAACCGTGGTGCAGCGACTTGACGCTCTCCCGCGGATCGGAAGGTTGTGGGTTCGGGTCATGACGGAGCTTAACTTTTTTTTAATGACCTTAGCTCGCAGGTCGACACAGCTTTGAGTGGGTAGCAGGAAAGTAAAGGCAGCCGTTGTGATGCTGACCACATCACTCACTAAGTACCGATTGGTCTATAAAATATAGGTCTAGCCTTATATGCCCAACACGCCTGAATGCGGGGAAAAGGGTCCTTCACTTTCCTTTATTGCAGTGGATTATATATTCATTAAGGGTAGTGCTTCATAGTGCATATTATTTGCTGTATAGTAAATAGTGTATAATAATAGTATGTACCTGACACATAGAACAGGTGTGTTCTGCTTTAGGGAAATTAGCCACTCCAAGTTGCAGTCTGAGTAATTCCTTATAGCAAGGGATTTTCATTTCAATTGTTATTGGACATTTTATGTTTGGAGCTTTAAACAATTTGTAGGCATGCATTTTATTTAAGCTTCCATTCCACATCCGTGTCCATTTTGCTGTTATTATTGTTATTTTTATTTGTTTGTTTGAGTATCCAGACGCCGTGAGTTATTAACCCTTAGGCTCGGTATTATGGATATCGCAACTTTTCGGCCTTGATTCCATTTTTAAATACCGTAAATCTGGGAGAAAATGTGGCTTTTCTGCTTACCCCCGGGAGTGAACCCGAACCACAAGGAGTTCGTCACTCGCTCACCGCGCAATCCGGTTTAGCCAACTACGCTAGGGAGACGGGCTTTATTTTTTATTTAAATAACTGATTAAAACATATCCTTACTTAAAGCTACATGTATTTTGTTATGTGTTTTTTTTTTTAACTGAGATAAGAAATAGAATAAGACAGGTAAAAACTGCATTTTATAAAATCAAAAACATCTTGTGCAATATATCCTTGTCATTGAGAGTTAGAAAAAGAATTCTTGCTTTTTACATACATCCAGTTTTAACATATGGCTGTGAATCCTGGACAATCGGTAGGCAGGCCAAACAATTTCTGGAGGCCTCGGAGATGTGGTTTTACAGAAGAATGAAAAGAATATCTTGGACAGCCAAAAAGAGCAACCAAGAGGTTTTGAAAGAGGCGGGAGCCCGAAGACAATTTATCAGACATTAAAAGGAGACAGTCATCGTTTTTTGGCCATGTTATGAGAAAAGGGAAATTAGAACATGTTATGAACACTGGAAAGATCTGTGGAAGGAGAGATAGGGGAAGACAACGAGAGAAGATGCTTGACAGTCTTGGCATGGCATGGAGATACATGCTGCAGGAGATCGCAGATTGTGGAGAGGCATGATCGCCCACGCCAGTCGGCAAGGCACCTGATGATGATGATGGTGTCTATTTGCTTCTCTGTCTGTCATTTCCTTTTTTCCCATCCCCAGATGTGCTGGTACGCACATAACTAGTACTAAGCACCCTCTAGTTTCTAGATAAGTAGTAGCCAGGAAGATCACTTGGATGTTATTTCGGCAATATCCCCGTGTGGTTTCCGGGGTCCTATTATCAGGAAAACAAGAATACACCCACTACCTACCCATAAAGCATGTCGTATGAGTTTTCTTTTGAAGTCGGAGTGCATCTGTCTGAGAGGCAAGGAACCAACAATCTGCATACAAATGAGACAGATCTGCACAACGAGTGTACACGCAACACTCAGATTCTGGTTCAGGACTAGAGTCCAGAAGTGGACGAACAACCATAATTTCCCTCCTGAGTTTACAGCCGGTGAAAATGAAGAAGATTTCTACTACACATCTTTGTATTTTTAGGAATGAAAACCGTAGAAAGGAATTCAGTGAAAACAGTCAGCCTTTATGGGGTGGAGGTGGGGGTGTTATTCATATAATTCGTTATAAATCAAATTTTTACAAAACAGAAAGAAAGTTTTCACGAAACAAGACAAAGTTTACAAAACAAAATGGAAGGTTGCTTGAAATAAAAATGTTCTAAGCAGAAAGTATGTGTAAGAAATTTGTAAAAAAAAAAAATGTTTGCTAAACGTGAAGAAAGTATGCGTAAGAGAAAAAAAAAATTTACTGAAAGACAAAAGAATAAAACAAGCATATGGAACAACTAATGAAATGACAAGAAAACAGCAATAGTAAGAGATCGAATAATGAAGTTTCTAAGAATAATAAATAAACAACTTACCCTGTAGGGATCCAGTTCCTTGTCGTCTGCTGCTCCTCTTCTTTCTGGTCCATGGTAACAAGGAGTTCCCCCACAGTACGATTTTGGCACTGTCTTTTGACCAGGGTGCAGTTCTATGGCTACTCCGAAATCTCCAAGAATGGCATTAAAGTCCTCATCCAGAAAAATGTTGTCCAGTTTCACGTCAAGATGTGCAATATTGTGTCGGTGTAAATATCGTAGTGCACACCCCACTTGGCTAATACACAGCTCGGACAAGTCCATACTCAGAGTTCCCACCTGGGAATCTAGAGTTCCACGAGAATAGTAATACATACATATAGCTTGGTAATCCTGGCATCGTCCTGCAATCAGACACTTTGTTAAATAAGGGTGACAAAGAGATTGCATGAACTGCACTTCGGCCTGGAATGCTCGCATATTTCTGACTTTATGTTCCTCATCCAGAAGGGAGAATTTCTTCACGATTCTCCTGAGATCTGGTTTTGCCTGAGGTATGGCCAGAACGATCTCACCGCACATGCCCTTGTCCAAGACCTCGTCAGCTTTCAGATTAAACTGGGTGAAGAAATCGGTTTCGAGTAAATATACCTTGGGATTCTGCAAAACGGAATTAGCCATGATAAAATGTAGAGTCCTGATCCAAGACTGTTGAATTAAAATCACGGAGAAGTATGAAGTTTATCCACAAGAATTCAACCACACACTAACACTGCTGTTTTCAATCTAAAATGAAGGGGATCTATCTCCGGGTAGTTTTATAGGACAGTCGTCGTTGTAATTAGGAAGCCTTTGTTAAATGTACGTGTCCGGTACGTGTCACAGAGCCGCAAATTTCCTCTGATCTCTACCAAGGAAACAACATTCAACAGACGCACCTACCGAGTGCCAGCAACACAAAGGCTATATAGTGTTGTTGTGTAAACATGTCGCGCCTGAAGCCGGCGGACAGTGGTCAAAGAACAATAGATGACAAGACGGGTCGGGTAGGTAGCAACAGCTGGTCATACCTGGGTCCTTATCAGTTGACGACTGTAGCTTACACAACACAGGTGATTAGTTTAGAGCTTATTTATCCACTCCTTAGATGTTTTGAAAGGTGGACACTAAGATGGCAGCAATATTTGCTTGACTGATTAGCAATGCTGTTTTAGACACGGCTATGGTTTGTGATTTTCCCTTCTGGAGCTCCTTCTTGGAGTAATGATAATAATCATTACTGTCATCATGTGCCACGCCGTTAAGAAGCGTACTTTGAAAGCACCGTGAAACAATTTATATTAATATTGCTGTTTTTGGGACATTCTGACAGTAGTGGTACAAGAGTCACACAGTGGAAACCTCACTACGTAACATTTCAACAGACAACAGTCGGTGATTTGCAGTCAGGGATTTTCTTTAAAGTATCCTTTAAGCACAGCGCAGATGTGAACCTTTTTTCTGAGTTAGGAAAACAAAAATCTTGTTCTCAATAAATACAGCACGTCTACAACTTATCACAATCGAAAATGAAGAAATAGAAAATGTCCCAGATTTCGAATACTAAGGCTCTTTAGTGAAAAACGGGGGTGGGGGGGGGGGCGGGGGACGCTCAAAAGAAGTTAGAAGAAGACTTGCATTAGCAATGAAGAAATAAACGGTTTGAAGAACCTATGGCAAAGTACCTGTAAATTAATTTTAAAATCTTGAGATCGTGCATTTTTCATGTGGCAACTTACTGGACTCTCACTCACTTACTGAGGAAACAAGACTGAAGCTTTTAAATAAAAATGTAACAGACAAATTCTCAGAATACCATGGATCAAGAAGAGGAAAAAAAATCGACATTCTACACGAGGTAAACCTCAAGGTGAAGAGCGTCCTGTCCCGAAAGTTCAAGTATTTTGGCCACATCAAACGTTATGGTAGCTTGGAAAAGACGGTGGTGGAGGTTGCAGTTTGTGGAAAGCGAGGCAGGGGTCGACCTCCGCGTAGATGGATACATGACAATGAAGATGCATTGGTATTGACAGCTATGGGGCTTAAGAGCTGGCTGGGAGAGGAATACTTTCAAGCGTGCCGTGAGGAGAGCGACGTTTTGCAAAGGACTTGCTGATTGATTGATTGATAAAGGGTGCCGGTACTCGACACCAAATGTCTTATACGTTAGAACTAAAAGAAAATGGTGGATAAAAAGGTGTCGGTACTGTAAACCTTGACGTACCACTACCCCCCCCCCCCCCCTCCTCCCCTCCAAATAAACCCGGGAAATGTCTCGCCGCTTACAGTCACTCAAGCATAGTACCAGGGCATATACTTTATGAGGCTTTCTGGCTTAACATAACAGAATATAACCCATGACCCGTTAGGGCCGTGGAGGTGTATCGATGGGCGCACTAGCAAACAAAACCCGCCATCTTTCTCTGTCTTCCGCTTGGTGAAAAAGTGTATAACTTAGTCCTGTCCATTTCTTGATGTTGTCATTCCAGGTTCTTCTTTGCCGTCCTCTTCTTCGAATGCCCCTCCCCACCCCATCACTCACCCCGAGTGTTTTGCACTGGAATCATGTCTCACCACGTGGCTTAGAGTTTATTGAAAGCGTTTCACAACTTCACGAACTTTGACTTATCGCGGTTCGAAACCCCGGCGAACAAATTTATCTTAGAATTGCGGTTCTCAGGTCGTTCGGACAGTAGTGGTATGAGTCAAACAGTGGTAGTTTCACCCCGTAACTAGGGCTAAACCTATATTTTATAGATCAATCGTCACTCAGTGGTAGTTTCACCCCGTAACTAGGGCTAAACCTATATTTTATAGATCAATCGTCACTCAGTGGTAGTTTCACCCCGTAACTAGGGCTAAACCTATATTTTATAGATCAATCGGCACTCAGTGGTAGTTTCACCCCGTAACTAGGGCTAAACCTATATTTTATAGATCAATCGGCACTCAGTGGTAGTTTCACCCCGTAACTAGGGCTAAACCTATATTTTATAGATCAATCGTCACTCAGTGGTAGTTTCACCCCGTAACTAGGGTTAAACCTATATTTTATAGATCAATCGGCACTCAGTGGGTGATGTGGTGAGCATCACACAGGCCGCCTTTACTTCCCATGATTGCACCTGGTACTCGTTCAAGGCTGGATCGACCTGGGAGCCAGGGTCATTTTTTTAAAGTCCGTTTCGGTCAGGAACCGAACCTGCCACCTTCCGATTCGCAGGCAAGCATGTGATATGGTCAGCGTCACGCTGATCGCTTTTACTTAACAGGACATGTCCTGGGACATGTCCTGTTACCAGGGCCGGGTACAGACTTGATGAGGCCCTGAGCTACATTAAGCCCTGAGGCCCCACCTTGTAAAATTACGCCAGCTAATCTCTAAAAACTATAAAATATATCTTCTTTCTTTTTTTGGGGGTGTGGGGGGGGGGTGGGGGGGGGGAATGTGTGTGTCTATTTTCTGCTTTGTGTATCGCAGGTTAACAGATGATCGGTTTCCGAGCTAGGGCACGCTCGGTGTTCCTGTATGCAGCGTTTTTGTGGAGTCTCAAGATCTCAGTTAATCCTTCAGTCCGAATTTCATCGGCGACCGGGTCACCCCTTTGGGTCTGTCTTCTTTGATCGCATCAAAACTGCAGGAATCCTTTTTCAAGACGTTTGGTACCGTGCTAAGATAAGCTATTTGATATTGCGCACATAACCAAGTCACAATTATAACCTAAAACTTTTCCTTCGGGGATGCTGGTTGAACCTGACGATGTTTTATTTCTTTTTGTCATCAAAGCAGCTACTTACCTACAGTTCGTCCTTCTCTAGGTCGTCTCTACTTCTTGGTGTTTCTACTGTCACATTGTACCCTCTCGTCACTGGCTTCATTGGATTCATTCTCATAAACTGGCCAAACCATTCCGGTCTTTGCTTTTTAGTGATTTTAATTATAGTCGATGTTCCTATAGTTCTTTTAATGTCTTCGTTTCTTACATGTTCTCTCCTAGTTTTTTTTTTTTTTTCACAGCCTTTCTAAAACATCGCACGCCGCAGGTGGTTACATAAATAAATATACATACGGATAATTGAAATAAGCTATTTGATATTTTAATGTCTTCGTTTCTTACATGTTCTCTCCTATTTTTTGTTTTATTTTTTCACAGCCTTTCTAAAACATCGCATGTCGCAGGTGGTTACATAAATAAATATACACACGGATAATTAAAAATAAGCCTGGCCAAATGTTGTCACTTAATTTATAGTAAAAATAATAAAGTATGTGCAAGATCACATAAATTAAAATCCCCGTGTGGGTTCCGGGGTCCTATATCGGAGAAAACAAGAACAGACCCACTGCCTCCTCAAAAAGCATGTCGTAAGAGTGCATCTGCATGAGAGGTAAGTAACCAACAGTCTGCATACAAATAAGCAAGATCTGTAAAGCAGATACACAGGAAAATTCAGGTCCTGAAACAAAGCCGAAGTCATAAATGGACAAACAACCAAGTCTTTTCTCAGTGGTTTACACCCGGTTAACGCAAACAACAACATGAACATATATGTATATATATTATATAGTCCTCTAAAAACCTCTGTTGAACGACATTTAAATTAAAAAATTTCTAACGGAAAATTGTTTTTAAGAAAGTAATATGTTGAGGCCTATGCAGATTGCGAGGCCTAAAACTCCAGCTTAGTGCCCATGCCTAAACCCAGCACTGCCTGGTACCCACTTTCAGCTGGCTAAACCTCGGAACCAGAATCAATTTTAAAATAATCCGCACTTGCGGATGCGAACCCAAGACTTCCGGGTGGGCAGGCATGCGTCTAGCTACTACGTTATCGCTGCTCCTTGAATCTAGCCATGGAGAAGTTATTTCCTTGTCATCGCCTTTCTCTCGTCTTATCGAGTGTGCCAGCTGTAGTTGTTTTCTAACTTCTTTATCTTTATAACATAGCTAGGTAAGTGCTTCACTGGGAAACAAATCGCCACGTTCAACCAGCATCCCCGTAGGGAAAGCTTTAGGTTATAGTTGTGATCAGGTTATGTGCGAGATATAAAATGACTTAGCATTTCACGCCACTAGAAACCCTGAAAAGGATTCCTGCAGTGTTGATCTGACCAAAGAAGACAGACCCAAATACTGTCTCGACCGGCGACGAAGTCGTCTACCAGAGAGATGAGTCGCCGAAGTGTGTGATCCTTTCTAATATGCGCCTGCTCGTCATCATCATCATCATCATCATCATCATCATGTGCCGTGCCAGTAAGCGTAGGCTGTCATGTTTCCTCATCTCGTACGATCACAAGAATCACGGATCAGTTCAAAGTTTTTTTTTACTCGCTCCATCCATCTAGCTAGGCCGTCTGGGTATGTACTTTGTTTTTTCCTCTCTCTTGCTCTTTCCTTTAATTTTGCCAGTTGTTTCCAAGTTCTCCAGTCGATTCCTTCTCATAAAATGTTTTTAAAAAAAAAACTATTTACGTCTAACTGTTCTAATAACTGCTTCATTTGTTGTGTATCCTTTTATGACAGTCTTTGCATTCTTTTCAGAAACCACATCTCTGCAGCAAGTAAATGTGTTTTCAGCTTGTCTGTCTATTGTCCATGTTTCACACGCACGCAGCAGCACAGGTTGTGCATAGCACT